GTAATTGTGTTGTATACCTACAATGTACCAATAAAAGAATTTAATAAAAAAAAAAAAAAGAATGCTAATTTGTAAAGCAAAAAGAAAAGAAGGAAGACCAAATCCCCTATCTTCTAGCTCCACTAACCTTCTTCAGATCTACATCTATACAGCCAGACATGGCAGGCAGTGCACACTTGTAATCCCAGCATTCAGGAGGCTGAAGCACGAGGATTGCAGCGAGTTTGAGGCCAGCTCAAACTACACAGTGAGACCCTGTCTCAAACAAATACCAAAAAGAAAAAAAGTTACATCTATACAGAGAAGAGAAATTCAGAAACAACGAACATTTACTGGGCATCTACTACATTCCATTTACTGAGGTACACGTTGTATAGAGAAAGAAGGGGAGGGGAGGGAAGATAAAGCAAAGCAACTTGCCCAAAGGCCCCTCAAGGTCTATCCATAATAAGTGGCAGAGCCAAAACTGGCCTAATCCCAAATCAAGGCTCTTTCCAGCATAACCATACCTGATTCCAGAAACTACTCACTACTTGGAATGGCCTCCTCCTCATAAAGAGCACATGTAGGACAGAGTAAGAGAATGTCTCCAGGAAGAGACCTGGGCCAGCAACTAGGCGACGTAAACTGTCAACTTGCAGGGTTCTACTGTTCTCTTACTTAACACCTTGAACAAGCCACATATCTCTGTAGGTCTCACATCCCTCCCTTTTATGCTCCATGCACCAGTCAGCATTTTCAGGCCTGGCAGTAGGGTCATTTGGGGAATCATTCAGCTGAGTTTTTCCTACCCCCCCAAGCAGAGCCTGGACTCCACCCTTGGACAGACAGGGTTGTCAGAAGCAAGGAGCCCCAAAGTGGCCTTTCTGGAGCATCCGGGTAGCTCCCAGGACATCTGGAGCAGCACTTTTGCTCCTACACTGTACCTGGCAATGTCTCTGGCAATTTGCTCGTTGGGACAGTTGATGAAGACGACGGAGTGAGCACCAGAGACGTAGGTGCCAGTGATGGCTGAGTGGAGCTGCAGGCTAAGGGTCCTGAGCATGGGGTACGTCAGAAAAGCAGCTGGCAGGATCTATGTGGTGGAAAAGAAAAGCACAGGTCAACAACTCCCAGCTCAAGCAGACTGGAACCGAGGCTGAGATAATCTTTCTTTTTTTTTTTTTTTTTTTTAGATAATCTTTTCATCCCCTTACCCTGTCCACAAAATAATCCCTGAGATGTGCACTGAGCTGTAGTGCGTAAGCAATGTTTTCATGCCTAGATATTTTCCTTTACAATTTTTTACATGAGAAACAAAAAAATGGAGGCTCACAAATTTTTTTTTTAAATGCTTAAAATCAGAGCTTTAATTGGTGAAACCAGGATTTAGACTTGAGTCTGGATGACTTCATAACCATTTTCATTGTACAAAATTTCTGTTGCAGGTAATACTAACTAGCATTCACTAAACTGCTGTCATCCTGTGGAGATTATAATGAACAATAAGCTCTTACATCTGCTGATGTTTGGGGAAGTAATTTCTTGTGCAATCATCTGTATCTACCTGCTGCTATGTAGAGCCTATTGCTAAACATAGGTATGCAAACAGACCAATCCTAAAACAATGCAACCTGCACCAATGTAACAGAGAGTGAGGACAACCAACAGGAAGGTTCTACAGGAGAGAGCAGAAAAAGGCTTTGAAGAGAAGGTATAATGTATGTCAGGAACAAAGATCTCAGTTGAGCTGGATCTAAAATAATAAGAATTTAACCAGGGTGGTGGTCCATGGCCATGATCCCAGCTCTCAAGAGGTTGAGGCAGGAGGATCACAAGTTTGAGGCCAGCCTGGCTACACAGCAAGATCTTATGTTTAAAAAAAGGATTACAAGAGAAGGGGCCACTCTAAGCAAGTGACTACATATGCAAACTCAGGAGGTATGAAGGACAGATGAAATATCTAGTCTATATGGCCCTCGGTGTGTAGGTTGAGTACGAAGAGATCAGGAAGAAGTAGGGTTGGGGATTTAGCTCAGTGGTGCCGCCACCTCCTTGCTTCACAAGTGCAAAGTCCTGAGTTCAATCTCTCATATCAAAAAAAAAAAAAAAAAAGAAGTGCTTACTAGAATTAAACAGAAATGGATCAAACCAAGGAATCTGGGGGTTTATACTCAAGTGACGGGGGGGGGTGCTTTTAGAAGTTTATAAGTAGGAAAGCAACAATATGGTCAAGCCAAGGAGAGTTAACAAAAAGGGCCGGCAATGAGGAGACCAGAAGGCAGCTTATTTAGCCACTTCAATGACCCAGGAAAAAAGCATTAAGATCTTGATCCAAGGGAGCAATAACCATGTGAGAGAAGATATTTTGAGATAAAATTTCTCTTTTTATTTTAATGACAAACACTTAAAATAAGAAGAAATGAAAAAGACTAGAGCCCTCTTCCATTCCAGGGTTCCCTACTTGGGAGAAATAATGGAGACATTAACAGGGAGAGGGCCAACCTGAAAGGAGGCAGGCTGTGACTCAGCCACTATGAACAAAAGCTGCTTCTCCTGTCTCCCAGTCCAGGGCTCATGCTTCACTCAAATGAACTTCTGTCCTCCACCTCGTTTTACACTATCGCCTGGGTCCTGCCTCCTACTTCTTGGCAGGTTCTGAGTAGCATATTTATGTCTTTAGCTTCAGTTTGACTACAGGCCTGTGTGGGTTGGGTTTCCATTTCCTCCTACTACCTCCAGCACTGCTTCTAGTTCAACAGTCTATACCAGTGCTCTCAAGTACACCAGTGACCATGCAAGAAGAAAGAATAGGACTTTTCAAGGAAAATTACTGGTTTTCCTTTAATGACACCTCAGTTTGACTATTGGGAAAAAAATAAAAGCACTAGAGTGCACGATTTAAATCCTGGTGCCAGTACTGCCTGTGACCTCTTGACAAGTTACTTCTTCTTTCTTCTACAAATCTTATCTAGAACTGGAGATTATAACATTTGTGCTGCCTAACTTAAAGTTGCCAGGGGTTCAAACAAGATAGGAAAAGCAATTTGTGAACACTAAGTCAGTAAGGGAGGGGGTTATGCTTTGTCCACTGTGTCCCCAGAAGTTCTTGGCCCACAGCAGGTTTTCAATACTTGTAGACTAGTACACGCATAAAATGCTGTTACTATGACTAAATATCCTTGTGACATAAGGCTAAGAAAATTGGACATCCAAGAACACTGTAAGGTATCAACCTACGTGACTCCAAGTAGGCTTCCAGCACAACTCTAACTGAAAGAAGCACTCATCACAGGATGGTTGGCTCACAGGCAGAACGAAAATGTGGTCCACAACCATTTCTCAAGTATATGTCACAATGTTTCTGAACAGAAACATTTACTATAACGAGAAAACATTTACCACTACTTTTTAAAAGCCTGTATAAGGCTTCATATTTATATCCTTTATACCTTTTCTTATTTATGTCTTTTACTATACACTTTCTCTAATTACACATTCTTACATATTTTATGTATTCTTCAGTTATTTCCTTGTTTGTGGGGGGGATACTGCAGATTGAACTCAGGGCCTTTGCACTAAGCTGTATCCTAGCCCACTTCTTATTTTGAGGCAGGGTCTTGCTAAGTCACTAAGTTGCCCAGGTTGGGCTTGAACACGCAATCCTTCTGCCTCAGCCTCCCAATGTTGGAATTATAGGTATGTGTCACCACATCGGGCTACTTTCACTTATTTCCTCTTTCATCTGACTTTTCTCCTTTTTTGGTCCTAGAGTATGTATATAACTTTTAGGAAGTTATGGTTGACTTTAAAGTCTGCGACAAGGCAAAAGGGGCCTCACATATTACCTAATCCAGTGGCACTAAACTGGTAATCTCCCTAGTCTTAAGAAATCTATAAATACTCTAAAATCAAATGCAACATTTTCCTGGGGTACAAATTCAGAACTTTCAAAAAAAAAAAAAAAAAAGAGATTTATAGTCCCCAAAAGTAAAGAGCCACTGATCTGTACCACTTTTCACAGACGAGGAAATAATGACGAGAAGAGAAGCAATCATTCCAAAAGTGAGCAGCAGAACTGGGCTAGAGCCTGGACTTCTGACTTTCCTACAACTCTCTCCCCTGATCCCACCACCACTGGAGTTACTCTAATCTCACTTTCAAGATCAACATTTTAAGATATTTCAGAGATGAGAAACAGCTCCCAGAAAATTACAGAGAAATGAGATGGTAACTGCAACAGGAACTGCTTAGGTGCAATTTCTGCAGCAGATACTCCTTCCCTTCCCCCACTCTAGGAATGAGAGCCCAGTCACCTGTTCCCACAAAGGGAGTACAGTTATTCTGGTAACCTTGAGAACCACCGACCAGTTCCACACGGAGTAGTGCTTCCAAGGGTCTTACAATTCACCTCCTACCTGCCCACCCCCTGCTCAGAACCCCAAGAGCTGTTAAGGGAAATAAATGTCTTCTTCCCTTCATTCCTTCTCCCTCAGTCCTCAGGTTTAAGGGTGAGGAGGTTCAAAGCATTGTTGATTAGGGCACTCACCAAGAGGCATGTAAGGACAGAAGGCCGAGGGTAGCCTGGCAGAGGGCACTGTGATCCCAGCCTGTCCATGGCGTTGCAGGTGATTTAGCACAAGGCAGTGGCAGTGAATTACAGCCTCAGGGAGAGTGCCTGCCTGAGGGCGGGTACACAGGACCTTAAGGGCTCTCTCCCACCACGCCTAGTGCTGACAAACCCCTCAGCACCGCCCTTCTCCAGCCAGACTGGCCAGACACAACTGGGGGGGGGGGCGGGTCTATTTTCACTGCACACACCCCTTCTTTGAAACTTAGAAACTAAGCTCAGTACTGACTGGCAAATCTTGCAAAAATACATGCTATTTTCTCTTCCTCTCTAAACACACACATGCAAAAAAAAAGAAAGCCCCAGAGATGTACAGATAAAAGGACAAACTTTTCTTAGAATACAAAATCGTCAGAAACCACAGCACACAAACAAGAACACACTCACCTCTTCTCTAAAGAGGCCCAAGCCACCAAAAAAACCATGTGAAGTACACATATGGCTACCTCTCTGTCTTACATATTACTCCTTCCTCCCAAGATCTCCCTTCTAATTCTCCTTGGTTTAGAACACTCTTGCTTCCTACTTTTCTGAACTCATTCCTCTTTCCAGACCAATTGCACTGGACTGGTAGCCTTTCCTCAAGGTAACTCAGTCCTCTTCTAAGGCACACTCCACACACTTAGGCTGAAGCATTTAATACATATTACACAGAACTGCCAACAAATAAAACTACAAGCCACTGGCTAGCTATTGTCCTCTGAGAATGCAGTGTATACTTTTGCCTGGGCTTCTGCATTTTTAATCCAGCTTTTTAAAGTGAAATATCCTAATTTCAAAATGACGATAAACTCTGCCGGGCACAGTGACATATGCCTGTAATCCCAGCACTTGGGAGGCTCAGGCAGGAAGATCAATAGTTTATGGTCAGCCTGGGCAAGTTAGCAAGATTTCATCTCAAAAAAACCCCAACAAAATGATGACAACTCTGGACACAGGAAATGAGACAGTGCACAGGGATACTAAATTAGGTTAAGGGAGCTGTTTTATCTTGATTGTTCTGGTGACAGTTACACAAGTGTTAAAAGTTCAATGAACTGTACATGTGAACAGATGAATTTTATTTATATAGTGTCTTAAAAAAGAGGAAATGCCGGAAACCAATTAAAAATTGTTTCAAACCGGGTGGATAAAACAAACTTGGTGGATTTTAACCAATCTGCCTTGCAAAGTGTCTGTTCACAGCCTCCCTCCTTTACATAATTACCTGCTCATTTGTCTGTTTCACTCCTTTACACTACAAATTTCTGAAGGCCTTATGTACTTTGGGCCAAAGCGTCTGACAAAGCAGTTAATCGGCTGGAGTCCTAATTCTGTTGTTTACACTGTTAGGTGTGCAGACTCAAGCACACTTAAACTCTGAGTGTTGGAGCTTTTTGGTAAAGGAAGGGCTAATATTTCCTTTATAGGTATGAACTCAGGATTAACAGAGATTAATGTTGAGAGTCTCATAACAGCTAAGACAACACCATTTCAAGAGCAAGTAGTATCAACTACCAATTTCTATTTATGATTGAAAATTTTCTTATCTATAAAAAAAGTTAGAGAAAATGAAGCTTAATGGCCTTAAAATCTTTATATTTTAAGCCCACTAAAATAAACCAGAACCATGATCTTTCGTACCTATTACATTAGTAAGTACTGTGTAATGACTATTTACCTCAGATCCTCAGATTTCCTGAGATGATCTTTAGCACAGGACCCTGCATAGTTTATTCTGTTTGTTGAATGAATAAATATTACGAGATGTGTGGTGGTTGATTGTAAGAATGATGGAGCGATGACAGTGATATTGAGGTAACAAGAGGATGCCAAAAGATGAACTGTTATTTGGAAGGTGCAACCTCTGGATCGTCTTCATCCTTCAACTCAGACACCTCTTTTCTCTTTAGATTCCATTCTAAGGTGAGACTCCAAAAGTCCAATTCTGCATTTATGGCTTTGGCAGTTTCTTCAAACATTTCAAGAGTTTTGGTGCTGCTGCCTGAGCATCCAGGCTCTTCTGGAAGCTTTTACTCTCCACCTTTTCTCCTTCCTCTCCACCTTCTTACGGGATTCTGATTCAGCCTCAGACTGAGTTCCTTCCAGATTGATACTATAGCCATCTCCTTCACCCATTTCATTTGTCTTACTTTTATCAACTCCTTTATTTTGAAGGTTCTTTTACACCCCTTTAGAGCAATTTATTGAAATTTTACTAAAGTAAAATTACTAAAGTCTTTTTGAAAAGACACACTTCAATCCAGGAAAAGGATCCATGACAACTGCAGCATCAATGAGGTTTGAAGCATGGCAGCATTCAATTTCCTGACTTTTCCTTCACCTCTGGTAGTAAGGACTGGTGTTCTTCCTCATCTGTGGATATACACTCTCTCCATTATTGCCAACGATTCAAACTTGAGTAGCTCATTAATTTCATTTTCCTTGATATCAATGAATTTATAATCCTTCCATTTTGCAGACTTGGATTTTTTTTCAACTTCAACTCTAGGGAAACATCTACAATCATTCCTAGCATTCTGCCAGTTTCCACGAAGCTTTATTAATAATGGCTGGTTTTGTATCACCCATCACCTCTTTTATTAATAACAACATTACAGTGAGCAAAGAATAGTGAGCCTATCAATGATGGCAATCCTTTTAGAGCTCTCAATGATAAACAGCCCACCAGGTTTGTCACCACTAGCCAGGTGACCCAGACTTTTGTCTACAATTAGCAACACTGAATCCAAGCTTTATTTTTCCCCGCTAAATTAACTTTGAGCTTCATGGTCAATTAAGAAACCAATTCAAGCTGGCAAGGTGCTGCATGCCTGTAATTCCAATTACTCAGGAGGCTGAGGCTCACTAGTTGGAGATCAGATTGAACAACTGGACCATCTCAAACATTTAAAAGGTGAGGGGGCTACTGAGGATGTAGCTAAGTGACAGATCACCTGCCTAGCATGTGTGAGGGCCTGGATTGATCTCCAGTACCAAGTATATATATAAAAAAACCTGTAAATCAAAAAGAGAGGGCAGTGGTTATGGATACTCTGTGCTGTGATCACCAGAATACAGGAAGTTATCTTTTTCCAACACAAGTGGGACTAAGGACTTTGTAAAACAGTAACGGCTTTGTCACCTGAGGCACTGGCATAAGAGAGAGAGAAAAAAGAAAAATTCTGTCTTTAGTTTCCACTACACTTTCCAGACTTTTGCCTATTTCCTTAAAATTATGGGAAGACACGCATTTCCAAAATAGGCTCATTGCCTTGACACTGAGAACCGTTCAGGAATACAGCTTCAATCTCTGGTCTTTCCAATTGCTTGCAATACATGGGTGCCAACTCAACATAAAAAAGGTTCTTCCTGCGCCGCTCAACCTTTTGTCTGGCAGACAGTGATTTTTAAACTTCTCACGCGATCCCTGGCTCGTATGAAACTTACCTAGCTGGCCCTGACCACAGATTCCCATCAGACGCTGACAGCTGCGGTTAGCATGTTGCAAATGGCCTTTGAGTCCGAGGCTATAACCCTCGATGGACTGTTCTCCACTCCAAAAGTTAACGGACTCTCCATCTTCTCGATGTTTACATCACAAGAATGCCCAGCAACTTGGAGCAGATGAGTGAACATTCTCCACGCTGGCCAGTGGCCCTCTGAGGTTTTTTTAATTGGGTGTACGGTTGACTCATCGACGACAAAGAGGCGCCCCAGCTCCATACTACTCACGCCTTCATCCCGCTTCCCTAGCTCCGCCTGGGTGGCCTCACGAGTGCCGCTCTCCCCGCCGCCGGGAGCCCGGTTGGGGGCCCGGAAGGCCGTGTGCCTGCCAATGAGTCCTCATCCTCTCCGCTCCGCTTGCTGAACATCTGGTGAAGGTTCATCCTCGGTGTCCTTTACCAAGCCGGAAAATCAGCTCCGTGACCAACTTCGCAGAGTCCCAAACCGCGCCACACTGGGACACCAACCATTGGTGACCTTTGACCCCTAAGAGGTCCCTCTCGCGAGATTTGGAAGAGAGGCGCTTTCCCAAGATCTCGTGACACTTAGAGAAGTTTCCCGGGAACTTGCTGGGTGGGCGGAGAGGAGCTAGCAAGATGGCGGCACAGGCGCTGTCTCTGTTGAGGGAGGTTGCGCGGCTAGAAGCGCCGCTGGAAGAGCTCCGTGCGCTGCAGTCTGTGATACAGGCTGTACCGCTTAGCGAGCTTCGCGAGCAGGGGCCAGAGTTGCACCTCGGTCCCCTTTTCTGCCTGCTAAACGAGAACCATCGGTAAGAGAACCCCCAGGCTTGAGCAGGGTTGAAGGTATCACCAAGTATGATGACGAGGGTGGGTGGGAGTGAAGGAAATCATTTTCCTAATTTTCTGCCAGACAGAAATTTGGCGAAATGGCAGAGAAGGGAAGGACCCAGGGCTGAGATGAGATTCAAGGCCAGTCTCTGGAGTGACTTGGTCGCCTGGCCTCTGACTTGCCACGGAACAGGAATTGGAGAAAAAAAACAAGGTTGCCCAACTACAAAAACTGTTAGTTCTGGATTGTACTCATCCTCAAAAGTTTTAGTTTTGATTTAATATACATCAATAATGTTCGACTGAAACTGCTTTGTATTTGATAACTTGACCATTTAAAGGAGTTTTTAAATGTTTGTGATCCATAATTTAAAAGGGCCCTGTTCTGGCAATGTGGCAGGATCCATCAATATTTCAGATTTAACTCATCTTTTAATTCAGTCATTCCTCTTAGAGGAATTTGAGAATGCAGATATACTCGCGTAAAACGTTCTCTGTATACACCAATGTTCATAACAGATGGTGTGTGGCACCCAAAAAAAAGGCTCTATAATTATAAATGCATAATGTGACATTATTATGTAATACTATGCAACTATTTAAAATATTGAGATAGATGTTGATTTAGGAAGATCTCAACTATGTGTTGTTCTATAAAGAAAATCGGAAAGTTTATGATCCCATTAATGTAATTTAAAAAAAAAAATTACGTCGCTCTTCCCACCCCCTATCCCTAAGGTTTATGTAACTTGTTTTGGGGTTGGTTTTTTTTTTTTTTTTTTTTTTTTTGATACCGAGGATCGAACT